AGTAGTAACTGTGGCCATCAGCAACAAGTTCTATCCAAAGCTGAAGTGAACTATGGAATATTTTTCAATAGTAAAGAGCTGCTTTACTAAAAACACTGGCAAGAATCTGTCTTCACAAAAAAAAAAAAATCCCAGTTCACTTTTTGCTTTCTGGTACAATAGACATTGTCAGGGCACAGTGCAGGCCAGCTGCTCCCTGAGGGACAGGGAGCCAGGACCCATGCAGTAGCAGAGCCAGCAGGACAGGTGCCTCGCCAGCTGGGGGCCATCCCACAACACCTGAGTGAAGCAAGCAGGGCAGACCTGGCACAACAGCCAGGGTCAGCTGAGAGTCCAGACTGCTAGACAAGTCTTCAGGGATGAGGCAGGTCTGAGGTCAAGCGAGGAGATCAATCCACAGGTCAGGGTCAGGTCCAGTGACGGTAACCAGGGTCAGACATAGTCCAGTGATTCCCAGGCAGGCCCATTGTGATAAGGCACGTCTGAAATCAAGTGAGGAAGTCAGACCGTGGATTAGGGCCTGGATCAACAGGGTCCATGGCCAGTCACAGACATATCTGTGACAGAGATGGAGACAGGCACACCTACAACGTAGCTCAGGCAGGGACTGATGGCCCACATCTGAGCTGAAATGCAACCCGTGGGGCCACCAGCAGGAGGTGTGGGTAGAATCCCCAGGTGGGGCTGCTCAGGCCATTAAAGCCTTTTGGTGCATTCGGGACCCTGACACAAAATTTTGCAATGAAACATTTTAGTCCCCTGCCTTCAAGATTAAAATCTGCTGCTTCTTTGGGAGCACTTTGGGAAAAATAACCCATTTTTCTACTTTATTTGTGTCTGCTATTTATCATGAGGTTTTTCCCCCATATATTTCCTCCAGAGACAGAACTTAGATTACAGAGTTTCTAGAGAGAGCTGAGGAGGGTGCTGGGGTCATTTTCATCAACACAAACCATACAGTTATTTGGCTATACAAGGATACAAACTGTCCTGGCAATAGCATCTTCCTCGCCAGATCTGAAAATAAGGAAACACCAATGTCAACAGAAAATTCTTCTACAGACAGAATTAGATTTTCACACCTCCTCTCCACACCTGTAGCTGGGAGTACAGTCACCTGCAATGTCTGTAGCTCTGGCAAAAGTCATTTGGCCTTTTTTGCTCTTTGCGTTGGGTAGCGCTGAGGAATGGTAATGGAGCAGAAGAGCATATAATATGCACAACGAACTTTTGCTTGTGGTTGATACATTTGATACTCCAGCATAGGGGGTGGAAGCTGTGTCTGAATGTTATGGTACTATAATGAATCTGAGAAGCAGCTTTACATTGTAGATGTGATAGAAGAGTTCATTCTTAGCTCCCTCCCAGGTCTGCCTTTGTGTGTTAGGGTCCCACTACTTCCTTTCCCAACAGGAGTCTTTTTAACCACAGAAGGGGAAACATTTGCTGTCTTAATACCTATGAAACAAAGCAACCACTTCCCATTTTTTTCTTCCTCTGTTTCCTTATCTCTAAAAGGTTCTCTGTTCCAGACTTACTCTTGTTACAGATATGCAAAGTCTGTTAATTAAGAGTAGGAACAGGGGAAAAAAGTCACTTTAAAAATAGAGACATGTTAGGAGATAATAAAGTTAAAAATAAATGGAAGAACTCAGGTGAAATTATGGCTACAGCAACAAGAAATGAGAAAACCTTGATGGACAGCATAGGAAAGGCCTTGATCTTTGTTTAATGTTTTGAAAGGGGTTACCTTCATGCTCTGCTTTCAGAGTTGGTAGCTATGTAGTGAGAAACTGCTGCTTTAGCTCATGTCAGAAGCAAAACAGTATCCAGGCAGTGAAGGTACCACCTTGATCCTCAGCTAGAATAAATCTGCAGACATCTAGTGAATGTAAAATTGTGGCAACTTGCTCTGCCTAAGGATCTAAGACAGCAGGTGCCTCACCTCACAGGCTTGAATGTGTTGACAGGAAAGCAGCACTGGAGTGTGTTTATAACGGTCTATTTTGATCTCCAATCTAAATAATCAGATCAATGGCCCTTTCTTAAGTGCTACACCTGAATTTCCCCTATGTTAAAACACGGACCATAGCACAAGCCAATTTTTATGGTGTGTTTCAAGATCCTGAGCCAAGCAGTTGCTTGTCTTGTGGTTGTGGTTTCTTTTTCTAGTGAATGTTACAGAATTCTTGATCTTGCTGTTAAGGCCACTGGCACGCACTACAAGGGACAGCAGCAACAGAGTTAGAGGCTCTCTGCAACTCCTCCGGATCTCATGGGCCATAGCTGAGCAGATTCTTCAGCAAAAGAGCTGGGAATGAAGGGATACAAGGATCAATCATTTCTTTTCACTGTGCCCAGATAAACATATGTCAAACCTATGTATAATCCAAAGTCGATGAAGTGATCTGCACTAATAATATTACAAATAATTTACATGTACATCCAATAGCAAATGTTATCCAGAAAGATCCCCCAAATCCTTCAACCATCCTGAACTTGAAAACCTTTATTCTATACTTTGAAGCCAAATGTTCAAATGCTACGATTTTTTCTTCTGGCAAAGTCCTACAACTATTCTGTTTTGAAGTTTTGGGGATTCTAAGCTGAAAAAGAGCTGAAGACTTTATGATTTGATTCTCAAGAATTAAAACCTACCAGTGCATGATTATGTCCTCAGCCCCAACATTTGAAAAATTTCCACAAAGCTAGTTTTAAACATCCCAGAAAATGGAACTTGCTCCCTTTTCTACAGTAGAGGATATTCTTCCAAATTGGGTACATTTAACACTGATATTTAGGGTTTCTGTAGAACCTCTTTTTGCCTCTGGTGTTTTGTGGTGTCTTTAATAAAGGCTTTTTGATTGTTGCTATCTGTTTGTACACAATATGATAACATACTGCTAACACATCTGGGATTCAGCGGTTATATCCAAAGTGTTAGAAATGTTTCCTTCATAATGTACTAGCAGAGCATGAAGAATTGTACTAGGCACAAATTTCATTTAGCATTTTCATCATGATCTCATACTAATAAGTCTTGCTGATGCCACAAATATATGGGCATTGTTGGTACAGTGTATGAATATTATCTGAAAATAATCAGATGTCACTGAAGACTATAGTATGGGAAATAGGATGAAAATTTAAAGTGCAGAACTATTTTGCTCCTCATCAAGAGTTTCTTTTCTAAGCTAAGAGCTTATCAATGGGAAATGGCAGAGAGGAAAAAATCTAGACATATTAGTGGGTCACTGAGTATCTTACGATATACTGAAACTGAAATAAATGCAGAAGATAATGGGGAGGCGGAATGAGGAACCAGCCTTAAGATTGGTTTTGTGAAACATAGTTTGCTTAAGCCTTGAAAAATTAAAGCCTGGGAGAGGTTCTATGATTATTCTGTATGAATGCATTGGAGAGCTAAACTCCAGAAATGAGGAAGAAACCTACCTCAGGTGTCTCCAACAGCAGTAGCTGTATGGAACCCCTTCCAGAAGATATGCTCAGGGATCTGCCTGTGCTCTCAGATGCTGGCCTGAAGCTAGGGAGGATCTTCAGGTTTCCCCAACTTGGCATTATCAACATAACAGACATCTGTTCTGTACCTGTTTCCCCAGCTTCTCTCCTGGGAAGGAGTCTGAGTAGTATGGTGTTTTATTTTAAAATAGTAACACACACTCGTGTGTTCAGGCATGGGTAGGTACTCATTACTGCTGCTTTACATTAAAAGGGGGAAGGAAGGTAAGGAATTGTGCCTTCCACTCTGGGCAGAAGGTTCATGATGACTCAGAGAATCTGTCTGACAATATGGGACAGGCTCCTGAAAGAGCTGTTTCCTATCTTAGGAATGCATTGTTGATCATGGCTATGAGCCTACAGCTTCATCTGATCTTTCAGATCCTCTAGGCATGGGGTATCTTAAGAACCAAGGCCTAGAAGTCAGTTGCTGCTTCTTTTATGAAAGGCAGTGCAGGATCTGGAGCATAGTGCTTGGTGTGCTTGCAGTAGCCAAGGCTGAGAAGATGTGCTGCAGTGTTCTGCCTCTGCTGGGGTCTCCTAAGAGCTGCATACTTCTTCCCTGGGTATACTGCACTGCTGTAGTGCCTCTGAGTGGTGGTGAGGACATGAACAATTGGGTTGGAGTTTGCCAGCTTAGGTTGGAAACTGTCCACCAACTACAAACAGCTACTGTTACAGAAGATCTCATTTTTGTGAGGAATCCATCAGTGACCCTAATCTGAAATGAATCAGCCAGTTTATCATGGGTTATAATTTTCTCAGTGAACCCTAGTTTCTGCAAAGTAGTGGATAAACAGGAAAGCTGTGACAACAGCAAAAGGTGAGAAAGAGCAGTGGTGGTGTTTAAGGCTGAGGGCATCTCATTTCAGCCTCCCTGCTTATGCTCTACAAGCACTGGTGCCATGAAAGGTCTCATGTCTTCTTGGATTCAACCTAATACAGCACATACATGTGCATACCCACCCCATTACTGCTAGTGGACCCTCACTCTCAGCAACTCATATCCTATGTCCACACACTGCTCTCCAGTGGGACTCTGCCTTCCACTAGACTTCAACTGGCTCCACGTCTTCAGTGCTTTCTGATGGTTCTCCTCCTTCCTGAGTTTTATCTTCTCTCTCACCTCTTCTCTCAGAGACCCCACCTCATAGGAACTCCTCTCCACCTTGCTGTGAGGAGTCACCAGTCACTCTCTGCAGATGTCCAATGGTAACTGTTACCGTAAGTCGGCAAATTAAAAATTCTCTAAGACTCAATTTGGAATTTTAGAAAGCAGACATTCTTTATTGCAGCGCCAGGCGCATGGGGGATCGCTCCACCTAGTGTGTGCACCGAGTTGCTCAACTACAGGTTATGTACAGTTAGAATATATATATTCATTAGATTTCTGAGAAATGATTAACATATTGATGTTGTTTCCTGGAACTCATTAACATATGTAAAAGTCTTTGACGCATGCGCTCTTATGTCCATTTCAGGGTCCTCTGGTGGTCGTCGATAGTCTTCCTCACCATGTCCGCTAGTTGAACTCAGTCTTCGCAGATGCACAGTTTGTTCTTTGGCTCAGTTGCGCATTTTGCTTACACAAACTAGCTTATTTCAGCATAGCTTCCTTATCTATTCTACTCCAAGATACAAAGTTTCAAGGTCTTCTTTTGCCTACTGAATGTTTAGCTCATCTATGCATAGGGTACTTCTACTGAAGGTCTAGCTTATCTACAGAGTACGTCAAACTTGGCTACATTACTCCAATAAAGAGAACCATATGTCTCTTCAGTGTTCCTTCATACTCAGTATCAGTAATTCTTTCCATACCAAGGTTGGATGGAGGAGTTCTTTCCTGCTAGGCAGGTAGAGGACTACCACCCCTTTTCTCCACATGCAGGTAGGGAAATCCTGGGTTGGGTTTCCCCTTGAAAGAGTTTTCCTTTTGGAAAGGAAACTTAGTGCCAAGGTATTGTTGAATCCAGACACAATAAGACCGATGGGCAAAGCTGGAATCTAGTTTCAGAACTACGCAAGAAATGGGATAGTGTCTGCCCCTCTTTCTTGCTAGGGGACTGAAGATGGAAGACAACTGCTCCCTCCAAAATCAAGGGACAGAAAAGCTAGACACAGTAGTTGGCACAGTAGCTTGACACTGAGCAACTCAGCTCAGTGGTGTCTGAAGACATTTTACTACATTACTGAGAAAAAGCAGATTATGGTTTTGAACAAGTGGATGAGTGGCAGGAAAATTCCAGTCCTGTAATACGTCAGCCAGAGGTGGAACAGTAGGTGGATTCAATGCTTGCTCCAAGATTAGCATGTCACAGATGAAAACATCTCCTGGTTTGTTCATTGTAGTCCTAAACTTCCCATGTTCCACCTGTACCTGGGAATCTCCTTCTGTTACTGTCCACGAAATGCTGAAACAGAAGGAACAGATGTGTGGAGCTGGGGTTATAAAAACTAAGTGACTCACCTGGTAGGAACTGCTGGCAGAACATTGTTATTTATTGTGCAAATTTTGAAGGAGGCTTTAGAAGTGAGGGTTGGAGATGCTTTGGGAAGTGAAGTATCAGGTAGAACTCCCAGAAAGTAATAGTAACAAAGTGCATGTAGATAATTAAACAAAAAATCACAAGAGAGAGGACAAACTCTCCCCCTTCATCCCCTCCCCCCCAGTCAAAAGTAACCTGCACAGAAAAGAAATAGCTTTCTATTTCTTTCTATTTTTCTCTTCAGGCCTTCCTGGTGGGAAGATGTGGGTGGAGGTGATACTGCTGCACAGTTAGCACTCACTGTTGGCTCTTGTATTCATGAAAAAAGTGCATATGGCCCAGAAATCACTGGTTTGCACAAACCATTACTGGAGCTCCAAAAGTGAAGAATGTTCCTTTATTAACCATTCCTTTTCCAGGAAGCAAACCAACAGACACAAGGTTAAGACTGCAGATGGTAAAACTAGCAGAATTTGCACGAGCAGTGCATGATAGGGCTGATGCAGAGTTCCTCTGTCCAATCTCTTTCTCTTTCTATGAGAATGCTGCTGTATGAAGTTCAGGGCAAGCACTGAAGTGCTTGCTTTACAATGACCATCACCTGAGAAATGGCACAGAAGATGAAGTGATTATGTGTGTCCCTACTCTAGAGGGTGCTCATTTTTGTTCTCTAAGCCTCTGCCACCACATTGCATCAGAAGTCACTGAACTTCCCGTACTGATGTAGTTCTCTCTGCAATACAAGAGCTGTGTACTGGTGACACCCTGTGTTCCTGGGACTCTGCAGAGAGAAAAGCAACTGTTCATCAGAGGCGATGACCCCTGGAGGGAGCCCCGGTCAAGGGACTGCAGGTGATAGTGGGGATTGCCTCTACTGTCGTGTTTAGGCAGGGTGGGAACAAGGAGGGATGAGGCTCTGGGAACTGGTGGTGGGAGACTGGACAGGTGTCCACTCTAAGCTTCTGAGCTCTGAGCTTCTAAGCAATGCTAAAGTGAGCAGTGTCCAAGTCCCACATCCCACCTGGTTAGAACCAGTGCTGGTGGTTATCATGAGTGCAAGGGACCCTCCCTCTGCAACTGATGCGGACTGTGACTAGCACAGGAAAGAAGAGCATGAGAGAGGGGAGCAATGGCTAGAGAGGGGAGAGAAGGGAGCCGGGGTGTGAAGAATTGGACAAGTGCTCAGGGGACAGGGGGAAGGAGAGGAGCTCCAGCAAAGCAGAGACGCTATGGCTTGCTGCCCCCTTCAGTGCCTACATATAACAAAGGTGTCTGCGGGACTCCACAGCTTTCTCTCCGGAAACTGTGTTGCAGGAGGCCAGCTGCCTGGTGAGGGCTGCTGAGTTTCCTGGTCAATCCTGTCCTTGTCTCGGGGCAGTGTGTGACTCCTGCTTTTGCCTTTTGTTTTTCAGCCCCAGCAGAGAAGAGAAGCTGTCCACTGCTTAGCTCTTGGGTCCTGCTCATTTCTGCCGTTGTCCTCAAAGCAAGTCTCATATCCATCTGTCTCGGTGGGTTCTTGAATTTATTTATTTTGCCTGGAGGTGGAAGGGACTGAGGGAGAGGGGAGTAGTGGGAGAAGAAGACATGATTAGAGAAGCTTCAATTGCCTTTTTGGAAACGGTCTTGACCATGTGACAGCTGATTTGGCTCCTTCCCGCTTAAACAGTTCACAGCTATGCAAACATTCCTGGTTAGTGTGGTGGCAACTGCACATGGCCAATGTGCCTCTCTGCTGCAGGGATCCTCACAGTCTGATGACGTTGCTGTGTGACAGTTGCTGGGCTGAGGAGCTTAAGAAGCAGTAATACAGCCTTGTGCATGAGGGTGTAAGCTGGTTCCTACTAGGATGGGAAGAATCCCTGCCCCACAACATCCCTGTTGTGAGATGGGAAGGAGCCTTCATAAGATATGCAGGCTATCGCCTTCCAGGGGGGCCCTGGCCCTAGTCTCTAGGTGAGGAAGAATCTTTGCTGCACAGCTGCACCACTACTCCTTTGTGTGGCCTCAGGAGCTGGAGTGCCTACTGACCCCATCTCATTCCAGCTGACTCAGCACTGGCCAGGGGAACAGCATGGTCCCTGGAGCTCCCTGGACTGTCCTTCCCAGGACTGGTCCAAGCCACCTTCGCCCTGACTTGCATAAATTGTTAAAAGACACACTGTTGCCTTTTCACATGTAGGTAGTCATGCTTGGGATGTGAGTTGTCCGGCTGCTTGCAGTCTTTCCACGAGACTCCTGCTTGGGATTTTTCTCAGTGACTGACACTTGTAAACAGAAAGCTAAGCTGTCATTTAGGAAAGAATATGTTTCCTGTCCTCCTCATGGTGGGGGAAAGACTGAAGATAAAAGTCTAAATCAAGATGGTCCCCTAATCATTAGTGCAAACCTGTGATTTCTGGACCACACAAACTTTGCAGTTTTGCTTTACCCCATTTTCAATGCAGAGTGTTCCTCTCAATAAAAACATCACCTACACTTTGCTGATGCTGTCCAGCATTGCTGAATGCACAAGACATCCCAAACATGAGTCCTATCCTAAGCTCCTACATGGCAATGATGTTTTAAAGCTGCATCCTACCAGCAGGCCCCAGAGCACTAGTTTGTACCGTTCACTCTGGCTTCATTTAGCAGTGCCTCATCACTCCCCCTTGCTGTGCTGTGCTGCTTAAATCTCCACATGCTCAAAATCCTGTGCATTGGCCACATGGCTAACTCTAGAACAGCCATAACCTGTCAGGACTTAACTGGCAGGCAGAAGGGAGCAGTTACAATGCAGGCAACTTGGAGGTTAGGTGGCCGATTGCCCCTGCTCCCACAGCCCTTGCTTTTACCTGTGGTCTGTGACCTCTCTCCACCCATCTGGAAAGCAGCTTGGCAGAAAAGGGCCTGGGGTCCTAGTGGACACTAACTTGAACATGAGGCAACAATGTGCCCTTGCTGCAAAGAAGACTAATGGTAGGAGGAGCATTGCCAGCAGGTCAGGGGAGCTGATCCTTCCCCTCTGATCAGCAGTGGTGAAGCCACACCTGGAGTACTGTGTCCAGTTCTGGGCTCCCCAGTATAAGAGTGACATGGACATAGTGGAGAGTGTCCAACAAAGGGCCACGAAGGTGATGAAGGGACTGGAGCATCTCTCCTATGAGGAGAGGCTGAGAGATCTGGGACTGTTCATCCTGGAGAAGAGAAGGCTTGGAGGGATCTTATCAATGTATATAAATACCTGAAGGGAGGGTGCAAGAAAGACGGAGCCAAGCTCTTTTAAGTGGTGCTCAATGACAAGACCAGAGGCAATGGGCACAAACTGAAACACAGAGAGTTCCCCCTTAACATCAGGAAACACCTTTTTACTGTGGGAGTGACCGAGCACTCGTACAGGTTGCCCAGGGAGGTTGTGCCGTCTCCATCCTTGGGAATATTTGAAAGCCGTCTGGACATGATCCTGGGCAACTGGCTCTAGGTGGCCCTGGTTGAGCAAGGGGTTGGATAAGATGACCTCCAGAGATCCCTTCCAACCTAAACCACGTCTCTAATGCTTCCTCTCCCTTTGCAGTTGTCCCCCTCCGTCACAGCTCTGAGCATGGCTGAAGGCAATGGTCAGTGCCTGGGAGACGGGAATGAGCAAACGTGAGGGTCTGGGGCTGGGAGAAAGGGCCCTTCAAGGTCTGGCTAAAGATCAAGTAGATGGACAGGGCTGGGTGGGACTCCTGAGGAGAGGAAAACTGGAGCCTTTATGCAGTGACTAAGGAGAAGACAGAGGTGGAGTTGTGGAGTCCTGTCAGGGCAGCATAGGTATGAACATCACAGGGTGATAGCAATAAGGTTTTTAATAATAAGGAGTTTTTCAGGTTGCTGGTGAGGAAACAATCCTCATGGCTGAGGCCGACAGGACTACCACAGGCTTGTTCTGAGTGAGGGGTTAAGACTACTTCAGGAGAACAATATGGGGTTTGTTTAATGACGGGCATCAAGATGCGTGACTAGAGCAGGTCAGCAGCCCCTGAAACAGTGCATGGGAGTTACTGAGCATGATGTCCAGTAACATCTAACTTTTCTGTCCTTGTTGGGGCAGGAGCCAAACTGTAGGGGAGGTCACTACCCTGCACAGTGAACTGGGGAGAACAGTTGAGCATTCTTGCTGGAGGACAGGGATCCTTGCAGTCACCATCTCTCTTGTTATTAGCATTCATTTCTGCGGTCTCACCCCACACAGAGCGAGGCTGGACATGCTGCCCAAAGGGCTGGAGATGCTTTCAAAAAAGCTGCTATTATCTGTCAGATGATGAGTTGTGCTGGGCTGAGGGTAGCAATTGCAATGCACAGTTGAATCACAATACAAATGTGATTCTCATTACCAGCCTCTGCAGTATGCTCAACATCAAGACACTGGGTGTCCCCAAGGTCCCAGAAGGAACATGTGGGTTAAAGCCAGCTCAGAGCCATTGCTTTCTTCAGACACGTCTTTGTTAGTCATTCCGTTTTTCACACTATTTTGGGCTGAGCCACGTATGCACTCACCCCATGCTGTTCTGCCTGACTTAGGAAGACGTTGCCCTCTTTTTGACCTTTAGAGGGATGAACATAGAATCATAGAATCATAGAATCATAGAATCATTGAGGTTGGAAAAGACCTCTAAGATCATCGAGTCCAACCGTCAACCCAA